ATATATATATATATATATATAATATATAACACACACACACACACACACACACACACACACACACATGCATACCTTATTTTCAATTTCTCTTTTTTTGGAGAGAAAAAATGAAGTAAGATTTATATTTTTAATTAATTTGGGACACTGTAAATCTTTCTATCCTATAAATTGGTATGATGATGTAACTGTTAAACTGACTTAGAGTAAAGATTTACAGCAACATTTGTTAGAAGTCCATAATGTTAGTGATTATTTCAACAGGAAGACTAAAAACCAAACCTCATATGTGGGTCAACGTGCATGGTTTGGTCCATTGGACCAACCCATATTAGACAATGTTTACTATATTCTGAATTTACTAAGTGTATCTTCACAAAATATGGTAATCTTTCAGCAAATGGTACATGTATGTTGTACACAAAAATTTAGAATTTCTTCCTAATATTTGCCTATGAATTTACTGAGTAAGTCTGACTTTGACGAGTTTAAGCTTGAGGTGATTTTCATGTTAAAAATACATTTTTTCATCTTACAGTTTTCGTATTTCATATGTATAACCTCTAGAACCTCCTAGATGAATAACAAAAGGTTATTTTGGTCAAACTTTATACCTTATCTCTTATTTTTTCTATTCTAACACTAACTATAGTGTAATCATGTGGAGTAAAAGTTGAAAAATATGAAATAAAATCAACTTTTTTCTCTAGTACGACTTCAGATTGTAACAAACAATTATTTTTCTTGAGAGCACTATGCCTCTTTAAATTTTCACAATTGCTTTCAGTTAATTGTATTGTTTTATTGCTCTTTAAGCCATGTCTGTCTACTATGACAAACAACAAATCACAAAACTGGAGTGCAGAGAGATTAGCGTAAACAAAGTTTAAAGTTACTGTACACAATATCTTTGCAGGTTCCTTGAGGAATATCTCAAAAATGTTTTTTTATTAATTTTTTCATTTAAGTTTTCATATATAACATAATACATTTCTAACTTTTACATTTCAAATACATAAAAATATATAAAAAACAAAAAATATACTTGTGGGTCTTGTACTTTTTTTCCATCAAAGTCTCACTAAAAGTTAACCCAAGTTTTTGATAGGGTTATTGTGAGTACTTTAAATGTTATTTATTTCAAATTTAGAGCATAGAACACAATATAACAACAAGCGCAAAGAATACAATGCCCTATAGCTATTATAATTTAACTAGCTTTCTACTTAAGCTATAAGTTGGTTAAAGTAATTTCTTTACCTGAATGATGTGTTCTCAGCAATTGCAACAATGAATCTGTATGCTGAATAATTCAAACACTGGTGTCAGAGTGAGATAACTTTATACAGAAATCAGTAAATTAAAATCTTCCCCTATGTTGGTTTTAAACAACCCAACAAAAAAATATCAGAGGTGAGATTTATTGTCATTTTTGAAAGATAGATGTGCTAGGAAAGGTGTTGCTCATTGGTTTTACTTTATTGTATATACCTCATTAAAACAAAAATATTTAGGCTACAAATTCACATTTTAGCTCACAAATACCTGTGGTACAATTGTGAACTTTGTGGGAAACATAGAACTTCATACAGATGAGAAAATTAATCTAAAATGGGAAATTTGGAGTGAAGAAGTGTCACATGATACAAAAAAAGTAGACTGAGAATTTATTTAAACATTTCCTTTTGCATTAGGAAACTAAAACTAACATATTAAAATTTCAATTATAACCTATGTTTTCATAATAAGTTTATTGGCATACGTTGATGATAAAGTTGTAAATAAAATTTGAATGTAATTCTGTAAAAATATGACATGCACACTTTGACCCTTCCCAAACACATAGGGTTAAACACATGCTTCTCTGACTTGGAATAATTGCATTGGGAGATGGTTTAATTTTAAAAACAAAGGTCATTCAATAACCACAGAATGACCTTGTATATCTTTAAAGTATGATGTGTTTATCAAATAACTGTAGTCATAATGTTTAATTTTAAAGACTTTAAAGCAGCCTATAAAGTAATCTTTTACAAATTACTTCATGGATGTATTACTTCAAAGTAAACTCACCCTTGATGTTGAAATTTGGGGACACCTGACTGTCTGTTAAAGTGAATGAGGTCAGACCCAGGCTCATACATCCTGCTGCTACAAAATCAAGCAATCCATGCTTCTTTCCTGAAAAGCATCAAAGCTAAAGAAATCAGTATAACAACAGTACTATAAAAATGTCACAAGCAAAAACAACTACTTATATACACAAATTAATTATGATGAATAAAATCAATTGGCAAATGGCCATGGGTTGAAAAAAAACTAACCTGAATGCATTTCTTTGGTTAACAGTGACTGAAGGGAATTACTGAGTTAGAAACTGATCAAGTTTCATATGTTAAAAGACAGCTAGAATATCTTTCACAGATTCAAATTGACCAAAATACTTTTAAAGTGTTACAATCTGAATTAAAATACTGTGGATCAAGAGTAACCTAGTTTCATTATTCTATGGTTTATATCTTCTTAAAAAACAAGATAACAGCCTGCTGACATAACAGATAATCGTAACAATACAGTAAATAAGCAAATTAATTATTATATTTCTAAAAATACTTTACTATTTCTTTTCACAAAAACTTTATTTTGAAAAAAATTCAAAGGTTTATGGCCAATAAGCTGATGATCTATGTTCATCCAGAAATAGTGTAAACTTGATGATCAGTACTAATGATTACATTTATGGTATTCAGCTCTACTGATATTTAACAGATAAGTTCAAAAGTATCTGCAAAATGCAGAATCTGGAAATGTTATGTTGAGAACAAATCAAACATGGATATCAAAGTAAAGAAATAGAAGTGAACAAATAAAATTATATTTCACAAGACATACTAAAATGTGCAAGTTTTCTCAATGATTTACTTATAGTTCTGGGGTGACTTTTACTGCCAGTTAGGTTGGAGAGGACTGAAATTAGCAGAACATGCCTATTCTGTTATAAACATACATCGAAGTCACATTTTCTGTTATCAACTACAAAATACACACATATAAACACAGTCCAAAGTAGTAGTCACACAAGGGACAACATAAAGATTACTTTTGTGGTCTTGGTGTAGCAATAATTAGAACTTGCCATGCTTTTCCTGGTTGTACTGCCATCTAGGGTTTGTGAGAAATCTACTACATAAAATAAACATGACAAATAACTCCAGCAAAGTATTGCAAAATGGTATACCTTTTGCCTGATTTATCGGTCCATGTTAATTTTTCATGCTGTGTCAGAGTACAACTCCCTTACTACAATTCAGGAAGATTGATATATAACCAACCACACTATCAGGCACAATCTTGCATAGTGACACAACACAAAGACGTTCAGGCTAACATGATATATTACAAGTTTGCTCAAGAAATTTCTAAAGGCAGACATTTGTCACAAAACTTGAGTACTCAGAAAGCAAGGACTGTGTCAGAATTTAAAAATTATATTAAATATGTATATGGGTTCTGGTTGTTGTCTTTTTGCCAATTGTCAAAATAAATGGCTTTTACTTATAGTTCTTAATAGTATAAATATATATACTATGTTGTTGTTGGGCTAAGGATTCTTCTACAGTAGGTGTCTGTGACTTGTTAGTGATAACTTCAACGATGAATAAACAGCACACACTTTACTTGTTTTCATATAATATATACACCTGGAAAAAAGTTAAGCACCCCCGTGTTTTTTTCAAGTGATTCAGATTCGACGTTCTTGTGACTGATT